TATATATATATTATTACGCAGGAAGGGTAAGATCTAGTTAGAAATGACGTTAGGTACATTTCTTTTTATAATAAAGAAGAGTAATTTGTTTCATATATAATAATGCAAACTTTTCTACTTTAACTGCTGGCGAATTTATTTGAAAACTAATATATAAAGAAAATATATAACACAAGAAAATTTAAATATACTAATGGTATACTTACTGGCTTGTGAAACCGTCATTACAAACAATAAGATGAATGTAAAACGAAGAAACATTCTGACTTTTTGACAAATTCGTAGTAGATTATTGTAACTCTATTACTCAGGAAGGGTAAGATCTAATGAGAAGAAGCGTTAGGTACATTTCTTTTATATATAAGAGGATTGTTTTTTATAGATAGAGAACAAACATGTATTATTTAACTGCGGTCGAGTTTATTGCACAGTTTTTTTTTTATACACATAACCTTGACTTTAAGTAAATAGCGTATGATATTAAATATCACTTAATTAAATTGTAATTATCATCCTCATCATCATCTGTAAATAGTGTATGATATTAAATGTCAATAAATAAATGTTACTGTATTTAAACAGATGATCCTTAAAACCATTGAATAAAAACGTTTATTGAAGTCTAGATTCCGATATTAAACTGAAAATGTTAAACACTCTAAAGCTACGGTCACACTAGAGTTTCAAGCCTGGCTTGACTCACCGCGGGTGAGATTTTCGTAATGTGACCGCACCTGGATCGACTCGCGCCTGGCGTGACCTCGATCTCAATCTACCTATCTCGATCCCGGCTCAGTACCCAGATTGATCCTGGATTGACCCTGGTGTAACCGGGATTGACATTTCCTCGTCGGCTGTCGACCAATCACAGTCGATGATGCCGTTGCGTTTAGAAGTTCTTGAATGAAAAACCCGCGGCAATCATCAGTTGTCATTTATAAATGCACTTATCAATCATAAATTTAGCATCGCCATTACATCCGAGCCTGAGCCTAGGCCTAGATCATCTGGATTCGCTCGCGGGGCCGGTATTTTGCGCTCTAACTTCCTGTTTCGACTTTCCTAATTTGGAGGTCAATCCAACTAAAAATTCAGGTAAAGTGTAACCAACTCAGAATTTCGAGCCTGGCTTGAAATCTTCTTTTCAAGCCAGGCTTCTTTTCTTTGCTGCATGTAAAAATCATTGTTAAATTAAACAGGTGTGTGAATAAAAGCTTTTCGTTGAAAAACCTTATAAGACATTCTTTTATTGACTTTCGTTTATGATAGTCTCGTTCGTTATTAAAAATTCTGATAACATTCAGTAATCAAGAAATGTCAATATATACATCTGGATTGTGCAAGGTAATAAGTTAGCAAACCACCTCTACTTTTTTTTATTACTAAAATGTGTCATTAGGGGACTAATATTAATTCACAAACGTTTTGCCCGTCCTTCAGGCAACTGAACATTATTAGGTTTGTTTTTCAAGATTTAAATTCAAGAGGCTAATTATTATTAACTCTTGCGACAACCGTAATGTGTGGCTCATAAGGCTAAATGTTGTCTCTGCTAGATTCTACACAATCGTTCATACCCAACCAAACTAACCACATATACAGGATGAGGCAATTAATTAATTGCTTTAAAATTATTTACCTTATATATTTGTAATATTTATGGTAAACGGTATGTCAGCTAAACAAAGAACACATCTTCGTATGAGAATGACACAACATAGATCAGCCATCAAAACAATTAAGCTTGATTTACCAAGTAGCCGAACACAATTCAGCTGGTCACTCAATTGCAAATTTCAGAGTTATTGAAATAAACCGTAATGCCAAAATCGTAAGGTTAAAGAAAATTTCTGGAAACTCTTATTTAAAACCAAACCTTTTAAGGCTCAATATTATTTGGAACGTTTACCTTTAATCCATAAATCATTTGGCTTATTCATTCTTTCAAATTTCAGACTCAAGTGTCAGGTAATTTTAGGCTGTTACCTTGATAACTGACGAATGTAAGATAGTCTCTTGATAGTAAAATTCCCTCCAGTAATACACATTGTAGAACCAAACAGACACTTAGTGCATATTCACCCCACAGCGGAAACTGAAATACGTGACATTACAAAAACTGTAATGTCATGTATATATATATAT